GGGGGGGGGGGGGGGGGGGGGGGGGGGGGGGGGGGGGGGGGGGGGGGGGGGGGGGGGGGGGGGGGTAAGATTGACGCAAAACATGCATGAAGGGCACGCTCATTCGTGGCAGCCGTCCTTAGAATGCGCTCTTGGGGAGGGGAGAGGAAAGGGACCCACAGAAAGCCCTCAAGGTTGATTGTAAGAAGTACATCAAGAGAGAGAGAGAGATACGATCGCGTAACTATTTGTTACACAGCGCGAATGTGCACGGATCACCGCGAATGCGGCAGCATGCACACGGGCGCCGATACAACCATCAAGGTAAGCGGCATTTCCAACCGGAACTAGACAACCTTGAACTATTTACCACACCACGAACACCGAACCAAAGCTACCGTCGAGCCAGCACACGAGAGCAGACAGGCTCGGATCCCCCTCTCAAAACCACGCGTTCTATGGTTCGGGTCTACGCCATTGATATTGCGGGCCCCCCCCCCGATTTGACCAACAACCGGGGCGCCCCCTGTAGGTAGTATAGTATAGTACCGCAACGACCAAGAGAAAAACGAATACACACAAGCGGCATGTCAAAGTCTCTCGAAGATGCAGCAGGCATTCCTGTCATACTTACGGCGTGCTCGTCGCTTGCCGCACACGTACACACCTGCTTGCACGCGCCCCCAGTCGACACGTCCCATATGGCGGCTTCGTTGCGGCCGGCGGCCACGATCACGTGGGGCCCTGGGGCTGCGTCTGGGGGGGGCAGCCTGCTACAGGTGGCCAGCTTGTGGATGGGCCCGCCCGAAGAATGCCTCCACAGCCGCGCGAGAACCTGCAGTACGACCGGCGTCGTTGTTGTTGTCGATGCCGCCGTGTTAGGAAAGGGGCCGCGAGTGAGCAAGGCCTCCACAAGCCGAAACGAAAGAAACATAATACATGGGGTGACAAAACAAGGAAGGGCGTGCTGCTCATGTACTGTGTCGTCGGGAGTCGTTGAACTGACGTGTGGTGCTAGGTCGTATGTACGGATACCTCGGCTACTGTTGTCGGTCCGACCCTACCACCCTACAGCCCGTGCTCGTCACGTCTTTCAAGACAACAAGACCACCACCACCACGCGGCAACAATGACTACGTAGCAGCAACAACAGCACCGCTATGCTCAAGGGCCCTCTCTGTCTCTCTCTGTCTCTCTCTGTCTCTCTGTCTCTGTCTCTATCTCTGTCTCTGTCTCTCTCTCCGGACAGAAGTTTGTTCATGGGCCCTTTGCCGCGTGTCCTCAGTTTTTCTTGCTCTTCTCTTTCCATCGATGGGGACAACCACCAACACCTCCATCAACGTCAACAACAGCAACACACGAAATCTTCTCTTCGCCTGGAAGCGGAGGTCCCACAGCATCACGAACCCCCTGCTCGTCCCGACCACAAGCCAGGTCTTCTCCGTGCCCAGGGCAATGACGGTCAGGAACCCCAGCTCCGGATGGGCTCGAAGCGCCCACGGCTCCTGCGGCAAGGCCATGGCCAAAGACGAAGGAAGAAAGGAAGGGCCTCATCAGGCAGCAACGCCGTGTCGGAACCAAAACGAACGAACATGAATGTAGACGGCAACGCTGCGTTGGAACAAAAACGAACCAACATGTAGACGGCAACGCTGCGTTAGAACAAAAACGAACCAACATGTAGACGGCAACGCTGCGTTCGTACAAACACGAACGAACGAACACGCAGTGCCGAGAGTGCGTCCCTCCCATTGCACTTACAAACCATGTGTGTGTTTTCCTGGAGTTACATCTCAATGATGCACGCACGGCGGCACCTGTAGTAAAGCGTCTCAAACCGCCGCCATGGCCCAAGCTACGCCACCTTGGCACTCATACCTCGTTTCTCGCCTAAGCGCATCGGCAACAAAACATTGCCTCCACATTCCATGCGGCTGCACCTCACCTTGCCTCCAAAACACGTTTGTGAACGATTGAGATTTCCAACCCAAAAAAAAACATTCCACGTAACACCCCCCTGGAAACCTAAACAGAGAGCGAGTTTCCTGTGCATATTCCACCACCGTACCCCAAAACACCGGTGTGTACTATCCTCACCTCCCTCGCCCGCAAGTCCCACGACCGCACCCCGCCCTTCCTCGTGCCGTACACGAGGGGGGACCCCAGCTCGGTGTTGAAGTGGTGGACGCTCACCACGGCGCCTTCCCTGGGAGACACGCAGCGCACCATCGACGACCCGCACACCCGGAGCCCGCTACCCCCACGGCCCACCCGCGCCACCCCTCCGCCGCCGCCGCCGCCACCGCTTCCGGCTGTCGCAGAGATTGCAGCCAGGGTGGGGTCGACAGGACCGCCGCCGCCGCCGCCGCCGGCCCCGCTGTACTTTCTGCTGTTGACGCTGTTGACGGCTTGGGCAGGAACGAGCCCCGGATGGTGTTGTTGTCGGGAGGAGGCAGTCTTGCTGGGCGGGGCACCGCCCCCTGCCGTCCCCCCCCCGGCGGCGGCGTTGAGGGTGCTGTTGCTGGAGGTCATGGGGTTGGACATGGTGAAGGAGCCGTACGGGGCGCTGTAAGCGGAGGCTGCGAGCTCCACCCTCCAGACCTGTGCGTGCCGGGGGTGGTTGCCGGGTCAGAGACACGTCGGGCTACCGATTGATGTTGTGCATGGCAGCGCGGGAAGGTGAAGTGACTGGAGCATAGTACTGCATATTTGTGTACCCTCCGTTGCTCAAGCACTTCTTGTACCCCCGAAAAACAGAAAAAAGGAGGGCGGCAAGCCGAGCAATAGCGTCACCTTTTCAATGTGAAGTGTCACAACATTCACTACACGACAAACCTTCATGGTCCCGCAGTCACTTGCATTGCCAAGAATTCAGCAGCGGAAAAAATGCGGCAAAACGCTGGTTCCTGCTGCCGACATGATTCTAACCTCGCACAAGGGGGAACCAACAACGTATCCATTCGGTCCACATCATGCGGCTATGGTCACCCCTCTCTCTCCCCTCTCCCTCCCCCGCCTGTCTCCGGTGTGCTCCGTTATCGGAGCCCTCTCCACCGTACCCCCCCCTCCCCCTACCCCTAACATACACGGTAACCCCACCCCCCCACCCCCTCCGTGCACGGTATCCCCCACCCCTTACATGCACGGTGCCGTCAGATGAGGCCGAAGCAACGGAGTGAGAGTTGTCCACCATGCACAGGTCAAGCAGACGGCCGCTCTGCCTCGAGTACGTCGCGCGCGACTGCGGGCTGACCGTGTGGTCCATTCCGCGGAGCTCCCAGACCTGCCCACACAGGGGCGTAAAAACCAGCAGCAACAACACAGCAGCGTGAAGGGATCGGGCGTTAAGCGGTGTTGTGGCAGACAGCATTCAACAGCCAGGGGGCGGAAAATGTTCACGAAATGGCGAGACCCGAGCCGGCATCGATAGATTTGGCCCTCGCTGAGGAACCGAAGGTAAGGTGGTGGGGAAGGAAAGCATAAAGGCGCAGCATGATTCTTGTGACAAAAGCAACAACACTTGAGCGATACTCTTTCTATCGCCGCCCCCGTGACAATTGCAGGTGATAGGATTAGGGTTAGTTCGGGTTAGGGTCAAGGTTAAGGTTGGGGTTACACAAGGACAAACCCTTCTTTGTTGGCGGGTCTAGCGATGATCGCACACAGCCGGCAAAAACCACACCATCACGATGCAACAACCCCCTCCTCCCTCCCATCACCTTGCAAGTGCTGTCGGACGAGGCGGAGACGAAAAACGCCTGGTCCTGCGACAGCGCGAGCCGGTTCACGGCCCCGCCGTGCTCCCTCAGGGAGGCCACCAGCACGCCCTGCCGAGGACGCCAGTCCGGCCGCCTGCTGCCGTGCTCATACTGCAACGAGTACTGCTCCTGCTGCGCCGCCGCCGCTGCCGCCGCCGCCGTCGCCGGGTAGGCGGATCTGGAGTTCGCGCCCCCAGCCCCCGATGACGCCGAGTTGGAGGATCCCCCGCCACCGCCTCCGCCTCCTCCTCCTCCTCCTCCGCCGCCGCCGCCGGAATCGAGGAGGTAGTGTGAGTATTTGGCGCCGTTGGGAGCCCTGTTGTAATCACCGCGATGGAGGTATGTGTGAGTACATATATGAGGCAACCAGAGCAGGAGCAGAAGCAAATCAAGGCACTCATGTATATATCGATCGAGGGAATGCAGACCTCGTGCCCGGCGGAAGAGATACTTGAGCGGCTCATGTCAAGGAGAACAATAAACTTCGTGCTTAACCCGGCAGGAGAGAGAGCTGCACAAGGAGTCGGAACCTCTCCCCTCCATTCATTGGAGCCCCGCCCCTTCGTTGAAGCCAGGGGCAACAGCACGCCGTGGAAATCGCGAAAAATGATCGGCGGTGCACCTAACCAAGAGCACCGTCCATTCTTCGGACGGACTTCACCGGAAGCTGCGCCGGCGTGTCTACTCTAGACCACCGATCCAAGCACCACAGCATCTAGCACACCCCGATAAAAAAAAAAAAGGCAGCCACCATTATATCCCGCCACGGTGCCCTTGCATCGCGTGCCCTTCCAGCTTACCTGACTGCCCCAAGGTCTGGTGGTAGCGGGGGCACTCCGAGCGCCTTCGCCCTCCTCAAGAGGGCAACCGCATCGTCCGGCCTGCCACCGACCCCGCCTACCCTAGACACCTCCCACGCGGGAGCGGACGGTTTCCCTCCACCGCCTTGTCGGCTCGACGCAATGGCAATGGCGGCAGCGGCAGCGGCAGCGGACGCCAACGTTGCGCTAGCCGCGTAACTGCTGCCGTTGTCGTGTCGTCCACTACTTCCTGCTGCTCCATCCACATCTGCATGCTCCACGAGGGCCATGGCCCTTCGCGCGTCAACCGCGTTCGTGTGCATTCCTGGCGGGGGTCGGAATGGCAGCGAGGAAGGCACAAAGTTCGGATTTTCCCGTAGCGAAAGAGCGGTGTGTAGGGTATGTAGCTTGAAAAAACGATATTCAAGACCTACCTCAATAAATGGTATTCAAAATAGACTTGAAGGAAAACTATATCCAAGACCTATCTCACCAAAAGACATTCAAGCCTATTCAAAAGGGCTACGG